AGACTGGTTTTGGAGCAATACAAAGACCTGATTTATTTTAGGTGTAAGTTAGGGGGGAAGGAAGTCAGTAAAACATTTTCACTGCTGAGACCAATGCATTTCAAAGCAGCATTGTATGGCATAGGCCAGGATGGGCACAGAGCATGATAGATGTCCCACGGCTGCCAGCTGTGATAGCTCATTCTCCTGCTGACTCATCATGCTCACATGCAAACTCTAAAATCAAGAGGGATAATTATTCATTCTTTAATAGCCGAAATTGAAGTTACTTTCAAGAATAATAAATGCTTGGTCAGTATAATTTTTATTTCTTCCTAAATTTTTTAGAAAGTATTTGTGAGAAATATGAATGTAGTGGAAGTTTTCTGATTTAATGCATTCTTACTTTTATATGTTGCCAAATGTAACTTTAGAAGTAATCATCATGAAAAAAATATCTTTTAGCAAAGACTGACAAAGAAAAAGGCCTTGATGTAGGACGTGAAGTTAGCCTCTCTGTTAGGTTTTGAAAAGATTGCAAGGTTTCTAAGTGTGTCTAATTGTTTTGAAAGTTTAATTTCTAGTCTAAACAGAATTAAACTAACTACAGACTCCTGAGCAGTTTCATTTGAGCAGTGTTCATGGAGATCTCCCTCTGGCAGTATGATAGCAATGAGTGCTGAGGTAGGATTTACATTCCTGAAACTCGGATGGTTTGGATGATAATAGTTTGTCTAACAATAAATAAACAAAAAAACCTCTGCTGTTGTACCTTGCTTCTGTAACAACAGTAGTACATGTTCTAAATGTGGTCCTGCTTCATATGGAATTTGACTTTTTTTTAATAAGCTTAAATTTGGGTAAGGAGCCATTAAAATGAGTGTTTTCTTTCTTAGTATTTGCAGTATGTCTCTGCAGAATATATATATTTAAAACATTTCACTGATTCTTTTTAGCTGCTGGTGGCTGCCTTGTGTTAAGGAGCCATGGGAGCTCTTGGCATTTTGAGTGCTGTGTTGATTTAGATCAATTCCAAACATGATGAGACATTTAATTTTCATCTGTTCATTGTCACTATGTTTATACCAGGCCCTCCTGGTATTTCTGCACATATGGTCTTTAAATGGCTCATGGAAAAGTAGCTCTTATTCTGTCAAAGAGGAAAAATAATGATAATAATTGATAATTAAGATATTGGTTAGAGGCCATTTGTAATGCTTTTAAGTCCTAAATACTGGTTACTCAGAAACGGAATGTTTGGATAAACACACCAGGGCAAAGACCATGGAAATTGCACAGCAGATGCCAGCAGCCCTTGCTTCCCTGGACAGACATTCATGGGAAATCTGCATGTCCACAGGTGAGCACACGGCCCCTGTGTGGCATAAACTGCCTGGTTTTTACTTTTCGAGTTGCATCACCGCCTAGCTACTCCTAAGAACCGCAAATTCCCTCTACTCTGGTCTCACAGGACCCTCTGATGCTTTGGGAAAGGGTCCCCTCGTGGTACAAAATGACAGTCCCTTCCTTTGGTCTTGTGTACCCACTGCAGCAAGGCCAAGGGGTGGCAGTTCTCCCTGGTACCTGTGGGGAACCCAAGGTATCGCTGCCCTCAGCTGCTCTCTTCAGTTCCTCCATGGCTCCAATAGTGAGGGGATTGCTGAGCACAATCCTGCCCCTCTGCAGGGCTCTGAGCTGGCTTACTAGGGCAGAGCTGAGCTTTGGGCTGGAAGATGTGGAGCCACAATTAATTCTCAAAGGCTGAGATGTAATCTCAAAGTATTTCTATTTATTATCTATTATCCAATGTTTCTAAATATTATCAACTGTCTAGTAGGCAGCCAAGCAGGCTGCAGAACCTCCTCAACATGAGACCAGTGTTGTGTGTGAAGATTTCTGCAAAGCTGAAGGGGAAGGTGCTGCCTCTCCAAAGAGAGCAGCTGTGTATTCTGCAAACATCTGCATAGAATATTGCCATTATCTATGGTAATGGATCTCCAGACTCCTGCTAGTGGCAATCATGTTGGTATGTCTGAGCTCTTTGTCTCTGCCCCCTGTAATAGCAGAGTAAAATCTACTATCTGTCCCGGCCCTACTCTGACAAATTTCATTAGCATGAGCAGGTTTTCATCCCACTGGTAGTATCACTTGATTTCAGACATGGTGTTTCTGAAACAGTTTAGCAGGAGATTTTCAAGCAAGCATTTAATGAATAATAGATAGAAACAGAAAGAAGGCAGCTTAAGAATTTTAGATAAAATTAAACTAGCAGCTGTTAAATATTGTAGCAGTCATTACATTTAGAAAGTCATTTGCTACCTGTCCAGGAGACTTACACATTTTATATGTACTGGAAATGAGATTTGGTTTAATCTTGTCACACCATGCTCAGTTTGTGTCTCTGGGAGCTCAGCATTTGACCCCATCTTTCTGCAGTGCCATTTGCTTCAATACAATGCAATTAATAAACCAGCAGTGTATAAAGATGCAGCTCAGATGGTAAAAAGTCCTCAAATCAGTAAAGGCAGATGTATCAGTGGATGATAAAACTCAATATTTCTATTTTTAGAGCTCCATCATCATAGGTCATATATTGTTTTTTGTCCTATACAACAGCTTGCCAAGTGTCTTTATTTGTTGACATAAACCTGGAAAAAGTAATGTCATAGAAACAGAGGGGTTTTTTTTTTAAGTATATGTATAGCAATATATAAGTATATATAAGAACGTAAATAGAATATAAGTATATTGTTTATACTTATACATTATATTCTGTTAGAACCAAGCCTGGAAATAATTCTGGGCACATGGGACATAATTATCTCATTGGATGGGATTGTGCCCCATCTATGATGCAGAATGCTGTTATAGAGATCAGAAATATTTAAACTGAGAAGGAAGCTTGCAGAAAAGTTCCACTTTCTTTTTCTATGTTCATGAGAATTAGTCCTTGAGAATGGCATTTTGCCTGACTGCAGGGGAGGCTTGGCAGGATTCTGCAAGCAGGCAGTGGCACTGATATTCCCAGTTCTGACTGGAGAGGTTGCTGCCAGGCCACTTGTTAAATGCAGCTGAGTCAAGGGACTTGTCCTTCAGTAATTCAGTGAACAGAGCACATTCCTGTATGTCTCCTCTCCATCTCCTGCATGCTTGGTCTGCTCTCTGAGATATGCTGCCAACAGATCTGTCTAATGCTCAGAAGTTCTGGTATTTAAAAATGTATCCTCAGGTTTGTGGTGGGGGAAGTCTTCACATTTACATAAAGAAAAAAGTAGTTAAAGAAAACAATAGTTAAGAACCTGAAATATTCAAGGTGGGGTGGGGCGTGTTGGTGGGAGTCTGTGTTATAAAACAGGGAATTTAAAAGCAATCTTGTACCGTTCAGTCAAGTAAACTTTCTAAACTCTCCATTGTTAATCAGAAAATGTTTGGGAAGGATAAATGGATGAGGATTCAAATAATTAGACATCAAACAATTCCATTTGTTTGGTGAAAAAAACACCATATATATATATATATATATATGTATGTATGTGTGTTTGGCAGGCTTTGTCCATGCTAGAAGTGTTTGTGGACTTCTTTAGGTAGATAACATATATGGGAGGCATTAATGCTTGAATGTTTATTTACATATTTTTACCCCATTTTTCTTACAGGAAGTTTGTTTAGTGGGCCCAGGCTGCCATGTCAATCCCTACTTACACAGGCCAGAAACAAAAGGCTCCAGAAGGGCTCTGGTCATGTATGGTTGTGGTTCTAAATCGATTATTAGACACTTCTAAATAAAGGTAACAGTCGTGTTTGTGTTTTTGTTTGGTTAGAGACAAACTCTTGAACAGTGTCATCACTGGCAGAGCGAAGTAGATCTCATGCTATGCCATGAAAATGAACTATCAAGGAGAGACAGAGCCTAAAAAGGGTTCACAAGTCAAACTTGAATATAGTTCAATGAAACAATTTTCTGGTGAACAAAAAACTGTAGGATTTCTTGATGAATGGATATAGCAGCTATATTTGGAGTGGACAAGAGGTTGAAATGTTTGGTTTAGGAAAAGATTGACAGAGGATTTTAATAAAACTTTTACCAGATTAATATAAAGAAAAAATATATATGTATAATATTAAAATTGAATCCATTGGAAGATTTAGACATAAATTAAGTAGGAGGGTTTTCAGTCTTCAAACCTCTGCCTCACTGACAGTGTAAGAAATAGTTAGAACTATGGTTACAGTAACTGTTATCACAGAGAAAGTGAATGCTGAGGAATGCAGCCAGTGGCAGAATAACAGGTTGGCCAAGTCACAGGGTAGACAGACAGCAGAGCACTGGGTTTGTGTGCAGGTGTGTGAGTGTAAAGCAGCAGGCAAGAATAAGGACAGATAAATAAGATGTGCAGTCATGATCTCTGGAGGCCGACTGATACCAAGCAGGACTGTGATAGGAATTATCAATGCCCTGGAAGTCCTGCTCTGTTCTTGCACAGGAGGGGAGGGTGAAAAGGGGAAGGAATTCATGGTTACCCTGCGGTGAAAAACTGCCCATAAAGCACCGAGAGCCTTTTGTCAATATACTGCAGAGGCTTTACTGCAGCAGCCAAGTGTTCTGCCGTTAGTCCAGAAACCATACTTTTATATAAGCGACCAGAACCTGTCGATTCGTAGAATCCAATTTCCTTGACATTTACCTTTTTCTGTTTCACAACCTTCTCCTCCAAGCCCCTCAGCCTGTGCCTGGTGTTTATAACCTGATCCCGGAGACCCCGGTGAGTGAGTTTCTCCGCTTGCCTGCCTGAGGCTGTCTCGGGAACACAGTGCTCAGTCCAGAGAGGAGCAGGCTTGAGAAGGGCTTGGGCCTGGTGCTGGAAAAGGAATGGAAAAGCCGACTCCAGGGGAAGGGAGATCGGAAGGAGCAGCGTCCCCTTTCCCTCCAGCGGCCGGGGATGCTGCGCTCCCCCGGGGTACATTCCCCAGTGCCGTTTGAGGCAGCTCAGCTCCATAAATGCCATTTGCATGGGGATAGGATGTTACAAGAGCTGTAAATCACTGACGGCGGAGTGAACTCTTAAGGGGCAGACACGGCGGAGCCGAGACTCCGCGAGCTGGGGCAATGTGTGAACGATATCTTTTGTTGGGAGGGAGGATTGATAGCAATTAGATGATACTTATCTGGCCCTTTGATGTGTATTTACACAAACAACGTTTTCCTCCAGGAGTTGCACTATAAAGGAGAGGCCCGTGCTCCCCGGCACCCTCCTTCCCGGCATCTCCGAAACAAGGCAGGATGACTAAGGCCCCTTTCTCCGTGGAATGGTTGTCCCAGAGCAGCCAAGCTCTCAAGAGTCCCACCAGGGGCTCTCCACACCGAGCATCGTCCGCGGGCCACCGGCCCGGCTCCGCCTCCAGCCTCGGCCGGAGCGAGCAGAGCCAGGATCAGCCGGCGGGTCCGCGGGACGGGAGCGGCGGCAGGAGCAGGGAGCGCGTGGAGGCCACTCCCGCCGCAGGTACCGCGACCACCGGGACAGCCCGGGGCTCCCGGGCGGGGGGCGGCGGGGCTGGGACACCGCCGGGCCCGGGAAGCAGCGGTGCGCGGGGGCTGCTCGGGGGCGGAGGAGGCGGCCGGTTCCCCACGCCGTACCCCACGGCTGACCCTTTCCTCCTTGTCCCTGTCCCCAGGAGCAGGCGAGAAGCCATCGGGAGCGGGGCAGCCCGTGTCGGAAGAGGGTCCCGAGTGTCCGGGCCCCGAGGAGCCCTGCGGGCGCGGCGGGCGGCGGCTGCGCACGGCGTTCAGCGCGGAGCAGATCAGCACCCTGGAGAGCTCCTTCCAGCGGCAGCAGTACCTGGGCGCCGCCGAGCGCCGGCAGCTGGCGGGCAGGATGCGCCTCTCCGAGGTGCAGGTGAGCGCGGGCAAGGGCATGGGCGACAGCGCGGCTCCAAACGACCACGTAAACAAGCCTGGGCGGCCTTGTAACCTCCTCGTCTTTTCTCCTTCCCCCAGATCAAGACGTGGTTTCAGAACCGGCGGATGAAGCTCAAGCGGCAGCTGCAGGAGTTGAGGACGGAGCCCTTCTGCAGCCCCGCTCTCCCTTACGGACCCCAGGGCGCTGTGGTGCCCTTGCCGCTCACGTACGTGGCCCGGCCACCGCCTCTGGCCCGGCAAGGGGCCGCCTCTGAGGGCTGCCCTTTGACGGCCCTGCCGGCACCCGCCCTGGACCTCAGCAGCGCCTGCAGAGCACAGCCGGTTGCGTTTTGGGCAGCACCCTGCTTTGTTGGGTACCGGGACCCCAGAGCTTTCTTGCTGGGTGTCTGACCCTCTGATACGAACTGTGACTAAAGAGGATTTGCACTACTGATAGATATCTGGGCTGCCCTCGTCTGTAACTGCCTGGTGGAGTTAAGATGCAGCAGCGATCTAAACATTTACAAAGACATGCTGGACAATCTGAATCATGGACTTCAGGCTCTTGCATTTATAGGCAACTGTAAAATATAAATGGGGTGGGACAAACAATAATATAAACTGAATCTTTTAATAAACCTATTTTTCCCAGTTTTCATGTGAATTCCTTTCTTAAGGATTGTAGAGGTATTCATTCTGCCCCAAAAGAAAGCTCCTCGTCATTTAAAATAGCATAGACTCCTTGTCTGGATTTGTTCTGCCCCCCTGCAATTTACTTTGTAGCTAAGTGCAAAAAAGCGTGAATTTCCCTCTGTCTTCTAAGGCAGGGATCCAACCCCTTTGGCTACTTAATACATGAGATTTTCTGTCATGGAACTGTGCTTTTAGCCAAATATGTGGATACACCTGTTACTTAATACTGGGCTCTCTATAGTAGCAGAACAGATACTTTTAAGATTTTAAAAAACTACTTTCTAAATATGTATGATATTATATCTTCACGTTTTTATGAGCTGCTTCAGTAGATTAGTAAGAACCTCAGTAGATTAGTAAGGATCTCTTATCTAAATAGATCATGGAAATGATCTCGAAATTTCTCACCTACAAAACAGTATCTAGCTATCTCACATGCAGTTATCAGGGTACAAGGGTGATGATCAAAAGAATTTTAACATTCCAAAGCTGGTTTTCCATACAGTGGCAGTAAAATTCCTTACCACTGTGCTATTCACTTTTAAAATTTGGATAATGAGCTAGTAAACTGATGATCAAAATGGCCTGATTTCAGGCCAGAAAAAGGGCTCTGAGAAATGATCTTTGACTGTAAGTTGACATAAATCTTTCAAAGTCAATTGTCAACTAACATGAAAAGAGCAATAAAAATTTCCATCACTTTAGAGGTAATCTGGGGTGTTATTAGAAGGTTTCCGGCACACTGGTAATTTAAACTCCTGTAATGAATGGTCTGAGGGTTCTCTGTCAGCATCCTTGAATATCTTTTGTATACAGCGGCCAATCTGCCCCTTGAGTACCCTTGCCTGGTAAAAAGCAACATTATGTGCTGCGGTGGGCAGGGGGCTTTGCAGTCACCTCTGGAAGTCTCCTTGATTATTTTGTAATCTATGCTGTATTTTTCTAGTCTTTTGAGATGTTAGTCTTTGTTTGCAATTGCACAAATTGCGTGTTTCTAATGCAAAGGATTTCAGCTGAATTTAAAAGGGCTCAGGTGAGCCTTTGCTCACCTTGCTGAAGTCTCAGGAACATCATGCAGTCATGGATTAAGAAAATTTGTTGACACGTAAGTGAAATTCCCATTCGATGGAGGCTTATTTCTCGAAGTCAGGTATCATTAAACGGTAATATTGATTTTGATAAATCTCTCTGACTCTTTCAAATAGTATTAGTTAACTGGGGTGTCTCCAGAAAGAGCTGCAATCGTGAATATTTTCCTCTGCTCTAAAGCAGTCATGTTTAAAATAACAGTCAAGGCCAATAAGTG